ATCAGTCGTCGTGGTGATCTATTGATCAAGGTTATCGGGTCCAGTTTATTAATTTTAAACTGTAATATTTTATGCACAGAGCCCCAGTGGCTCCTTGGTGATTAAGATACTATTTACATTAAATATTGAAGAGTTACTCTACTTAAGGATTTCAGCTGAACTGTGCTCTAAGGAATATTTCCAGACTTGACGTTACAAACCTGTTTCATTAGGGGTAAGTAGGATCCCCCATATTTGGCCATCTGGTTCCCATTCTATTAACGTTATCCGTGCCAATAAGTCCCTTGATCACTTTGACACTGTACTGCTTAGTGTCTGTGTAAAACAAAGAGGTTAAATTCCCGCTTCAAGGGCCTGAGCCAACCTCCATTGAAGTTAATGGGAGCATTCATATTACATTCTGTGGGCACTGGATCAGGCTCTATGTGCAAATCTCAATGCAGCTTTGACTGTGGAGCTAGGTTTTGGTCCCTCCGTCATTTGCATGTATATTTTGGGTTAGGGGAGTGTCTGGATGCTGGGTAGAGTTTCAGATCTACACGCATTTCAGATTGTAGCTAGGAAAGTGTGCCCACCATCATGGTGTATCTAAATTATTTGGATGAATGTTTAAAAAACAAAGGGAAATGAGAGTATGGGAGACTTTCCCCATCTCCAAGGCTGAATTTATCGTTGATCCTTACTGGCATTTGTTAGTTGCATTGAATGGTCAGGACTGCTCACGTGAGTAAGGACTCTTTAAAGGTGTTCTAAGGGATGCTCTGAGTTACACAGCCTCTTCTGGCCTGGGATTGCCAATGTGCAGCATACTCCAGCTCCATCCCCTCCTGCCCCTGGGTGCCCCCTCGCCTGATGTTGAGGGTAGGTGTTAGGGCGTTACACCAGCTTTGCACACTTGGCATTCTCTCTACATCAGGGGAATCCCCTGTCATAGAATATCAGGGTTGGAAGGGACCTCAGGAGGTCATCTAGTCCAACCCCCTGCTCAAAACAGGACCACTCCCCAGACAGATTTTTACCCCAGTTCCCTAAATGGCCTGCTCAAGGATTGAACTCACAATGCTGGGTTTAGCAGGCTAATGCTCAAACCAATGAGCTATCCCTCCCCCCGTCATCCTCTTAGGGCAGGTATGTCCCCTTGCTGCAGCTTCAGCTGCTCCAAGGCTTCTATATGCAAAACCACACCTCTTAATTTATGAGGACGGTGTGACTGAATTGGACGTAGGTGGACTAGAACGGAAGTGTAGGTGACATGATCACTTGGGTACTTTCTCTGTGTGGAGTGCTGCACAGTGCATGTTTTTCATAATGGGGTTCTGTCGTGATTCATGAGGCACCGGCACGAAAAGGCATTTTCCTCTTTGCAGTCTTTGGAGGCGGGACAGTGGCCTATCAGGGGAGAATGTGCAGAAATGTAAATTCTAGAGCTGACTGAAATTTTTCGACCAAAATTTTTCTTCGTAGAAAAATGCAGTTGTGTGGAAATTGAAACGTTTGGTGAAAATTCTGCATGCACTGTAAAACCATCTCCTGAAAATCCCTTTCACACTGATTTTTAAGGTCACTGTGACACTTCCCTCAGGGAGCCCAGAGCTGCAAGCCATTGTGTTATCTCTCTGGCTTAGCAAGAGGGAACTTTGCTGGCGCTTAAACTGTGTGACAGCTCCCTGCTGCACCAGTCTGTCTGTCTTACCAGCAAACTCCGTGAGACTCTGTCAGTCTAAACCTCGCCTTGCAGCTAATGTTCAGTGAACCCCAGTTCCCCAGAGACATTTCTCTGTAGTGTCCAGTCCTTTCACTGGATACTCACAGAAATTATTAAGTCCACTGTCTCCAGCGAGCCAGTACACACATGCTAGCCTGCTAGCCTTGTTGTGGACACACACTCTTGTCCTTAATACATAACACTGAGTCTGTTGTAAAACTAGGACTAAAGAACACAGATTGAAGTGGTACTAAGCAAGAGAAGAAAAGACAGGGTATGGGTATAGACAAAGCAAAAATAACACGCTTCCTCATGCCTAGAACTTAACTTTAGCAAGCTACAATCTTTGCCTAAGCGCCTTTCTCAGCTACATCAAGCTATCAGCATCTCCAGCTCTTCCAGCAGGTGGATCCTCCACTGCCAGACTTAGACAGTATCAATCCCTTTGTCCTGTAAGTGATGGATAACAAAGGAGTTCCCGTTCTTCCCTTTTATAGTCCCGAAAACCTTTGAAATGTCTTCTTTGAAAAGTAAAGCCAGACAAAGTTCCTCTCTCCTGCTGCTTGTTCTTTGGGGTGCAGGCACCAAGTCCCTTCTTCATGGTCAGGTCAATGTGCTGTCTGGATTGTTTTGATCACTTTGTTTACTTGAGATGCAAATGTGCTTCTGCTGTCCTTGCTGTTTTCCTCATCCGCATGTTAGCTTGATCCATGCAGTCAGGTAGACATTCCTTTGCCTAGGGTAGGCTTGTTTATCAACAAAGTAGTTGTACAGCAGACACATTACTCTGTACACGCAGTCCATATGGGCATTGCACAGTGATATTCTTGACCAGCGGGAAGCCAGTTTTTATATGATACCTTACAAGACTCTGTCTGGCTAAATTTCTAACCTCAGTGGGTTGGATGTACTCTTTGCCAGTTGGCATAAAGGGGCTCTGAACATCACAGTTACTGTCCGGCACAGTGTCCACTCTTCTGTACAAAAGCCACAGGCACTTAAATGAAACAACAGACTGGGTCTAAAAGGCTATTTATTACCCCTAGGTACTAGTCTCAGTAATTTTCTTGATTTATGACTGGAGAGGGGTTCAAACTCAACCCCCAGATCCCAACTCCAGCAAGGTCCAAGACCACCTTCTAATGCTGCAGTTCACCCCCATTTCTAGCTGTGGGATAGCACATGCATCCCGTCCTTCTGCTGTATACCAAAGTGACCGTGTGGCTGTATTGACCCTCTGCCTCATATTTGGCCTGATAGTTTCCTCCTGGTACCTGTAAAGGATAATCTTTGCTCCCTGGGCTTGTGATACCAAAGCCATAGAGCTGCCAGTGAGAAAAGCAGTTGTCTCTGCCTCGGTGAATTTGCCCTGAGCAACAGCTGTTACCCATCCATCTCTTGTGAGTAATGACGAGCTGTGCTGGAGCTCTGTGGGTGATGGAAAATCATTATCTGTCGTCACAACAACGTCCGTCACCATGGACTTTGCACCAGTGTGGACGCTGGCGTTTGTTTTGCTTAGTGAGATGGGTATCAGCATCAATTTGTGCTGGAGATCACCCAGGAATTTCACCTGCTGGCCCCTCAAATTTTAAACAATCAGGAGCCTCTGAAGAACATTTGTCTGTTTTTAAGATAATAGTCTTTGTTTCCCCTTTCTCCCTGTGACCTTTCATAAATATCAGTTTTTGAACACCCCACACCTCCTTCTGGTGGGTTTCTGGGAGCTGCAGTTCTTCAGGGTCCTTCCAGGGGACACCAGTAGACCAGTGCATCACGTCACAGCGATATCATAGTCCTGAAAGAACTTCTCAGATGTAAATGTTCCTATAAATTTTCTGATTCCTTGTTACCTTCTGAGGGGTAACAGAATGAAATTTCCTCTTGGAAAGCATTTCTTATTTAATGCAATGTGTTCTTGAATGGGAAGAGGGGTGGGGTTTCACTGGGAACCTTTGGAACAGTTTAATTAAGCCAGGTTGTCAGTGGATGGTATAGTAGGAAGGGACAGCTGGCCAAACCAGAGAAGTTTGGGAACATTTAACTCTCATGTCAAGGGTGATCGGAAGGCTGTAGAAAATGGAAAGTGTTGTTCCATAACATGATGCTGAATAGAGAAGAGTCAAAACCCTGGAACTGAACATCCCCAAACTTTTGAAATTCACATCTGAATTCTGTGGCATGGGCCCATCTCTAGAACGGAGAACTAAATCTGGGACCTCAGCCTCATGAACAGACATGTTAAGGTCAAATTCCAAATACTGGGCCTAGTCCTGAAGCCTTTAGCCAAACTACCCCCTTGACTTCAACATGGCTTTAGACTGAGTAAGGGCTTGAAAGGATTTCATGGTTTCCAAGGGCAGAAGGGATCATTGTGATTATCTCGTCTGACCTCAAATAGAACACAGGCCAGGGAACTTCCCCAAAATAATTCCTAGAGCAGATCTCTTAGGAAAACATCCCATCTTGATTTAATAATTGTCAGTGATGGAGAATCCACCATGACCCTTTATAAATTGTTCCAATGGTTAATTATTCTCATAATTAATTTACACCTTATTTCCAGTCTGGATTTGTCTTGCTTCAACTTCCAGCCATTGGGTCGTGTTATATCTTTCTCTGCTAGATTGAAGAGCCCATATCAAATATTTATTCCCCACATAGATACTTGTAGATTATAATCAAGTCACCCCTTTGCCTTTTCTTTGTTTGGCTAAATAGATTGAGCTCCTGGAGTCTATAAGGAAGGTTTTCTAATCCCTGAATCAGTCTCATGGCTCTTGTCTTCAATTTATCAACATCCTTCTTGAATTGTGGACACCAGAACTGGACACAATATTCCAGCAGTGGTCACACCAGTACCAAATACAGAGATAAAATAACCTCTCTACTCTTGCTTGAGATTCCCAATGGTCATAATAGCTATGGAGAGAAGATGAAACTCTCCCCTATGCAGAGAGCCAGCACAAAGTCTAGCCATGATTTAAGTCCCATTTAAGCCCCTCAGGGTCTTTACATCTTAAATAGAATTTAAATGGTGCATATGCCTTGTGCCAGCTCATCCCCATACTGCGTGGGGATGAGTTTCACCCATAATGAGAAAGGCAAAGGCAAAGGCAAAGACAAAGAGCAATCTGGGGGAGGGATAGCTCAGTGGTTTGAGCGTTGGGTTACTAAACCCAGGGTTGTGAGTTCAATGCTTGAGGGGGCCACTTAGGGATCTTGGGCAAAAATCAATACTTGGTCCTGCTAATGAAGGCAGGGGGCTGGACTCAATGACCTTTATTTTTTTTAAGCCTGGCTAGCTCAGTTGGTAGAGCATCAGGCTCTTAATCTGAGGGTCCAGGGTTCATGCCCCTGTCCAGGCACTCAACTCAGGGCAGGTGGGATAGTTCAGTGGTTTGAGCATTGGCCTGCTAAACCCTGGGTTGTGAGTTCAATCATTGAGGGGACCATTTAAGAAGCTGGGGTAAAAGTCTGTCTGGGGATTGGACCTGCTTTAAGCAGGGGGGTGGACTAGATGACCTTCTGAGGTCCCTTCCAACCCTACAGTTCTATGAATACTGGTATTAAGGGCAGCCAAATTAGTTTAACTGATTCTCAAAACAGCCTCCAAGGTGCAAATGCACAAAAAGGAGTATTCTTTCAATGGCTCATGCATCATGTTATTTTTCTGTTTCATATATTGGAGAAGGGAGACTGTGTGGAATGTAAATTCATTTGGCAGAAGCACTGTAATTTCAAACAATTGCTGCAGAGCCCAAACTTGATTATCGTACTAAAATAGCCTAGGTAGAGTTTTTTTTGGTTTTTTGTTTTGCACTGGCCTGGTTTCTGTAAACTGCAATAATGTATTGATGTATTTCTCTTTGCAAGGTGCCTAGAATACACGTACAAAGTGCATGGGGTCTGATTCTTCTTTCGCTTACACTAGTTTTAAACCGCAGTAATGTCACCAACTTCACTGGGATTACTCCTGATCTACATCAGGGTCAGTGAAAGGGAAGTCAGATTATCAAAGTTTACATCTTCCATAGTACGAGCACTTTTATTAAAATTGCATTTGTGCAAGACTACGGGCTGGGTCCTCGGCAAGTGCAAATCAATACGGCTCCGTTGAAGTCAGTGGGCTCATACTGATATACACCAGCTGACGATCTGGCGTGTGTGTGTATGTGTGTGTGTGTAATATATACACACAATTATATATACATTGTGATGGGGCTTAACCCCCCATCCCCTGCAAGGGAAGGGAAAGACCCCCATTAGTCATGCTTCACACCTGGCAGGTCATTAACTAATTGCCTCCTGGCCAAAGGAGGCAGAGCTGGGCCTTATAAGTTGACCCAGGGAGCTCGGTTTTGGAGCGACTGCAGAGGAGACAGGTCTCTGGTGGAGAGAAGCCCTGGGATCAGGGCCGGTGCAACCCATTAGGCGACCTAGGCAGTTGCCTAGGGCTCTAGCATTTGGGGGGCGGCATTTCGGGTCCTTCGTCGGTGACCGTGGCGGCCGGATCTTTGGCCACCCAGTCGTCGTCGGCATTTAGGTGGAGGGAGCTGGGGCAGGAGGGTGCGGGGAGGGCCGCCTGCAGCAAGTGAGGTGGGGGGCAGCACGCAGGGGAACTCCCCGCCCCAGCTCACCTCTGCTCCGCCTCCTCCCCGAGCACGCCACCCCGCTCTGCTTCTTTCCCTCCCAGGCTTGCGGCGCCAAAGAGCGGATTGGTGCCACAAACCTGGGAGGTGGGAGAAATGGAGCGGCAACAGCGTGCTCAGGGAGGAGGCGGAGCAGAGGTGAGCTGGGGCGGGGAGCTGCCACACGGCTCCCCAGGCCGGGGAGAGCTGCCGCGGCGGCGGCGGGGGGGTGGTCCTCAGGGCAGAGGGGGGGAGCTGTTGTGGGGGGGGCGCCTCAGGGCAGAGAGGGGTGGGGAGCTGCCACGGGGGGCGCCTTAGGGCGGGGTGGTGGTGGTGGAGAACTGCCACAGGGCTCGGGGGTGGGGGCGCAAGGTGGACGTTTCACTTAGGGCACAAAACATCCTTGCACCCGCCCTGCCTGGGTTAGTGTTTAGTGGTCAGGATACAATGGAGGCCGAATGCTACAGGAGCAGGTTAAGCTCCAGCAGGGAAAGCCGTGAGGCCTAGCCAACAAGGGAACTACAGTGGGTCCTAAGAGGGATGGAAAGGCTCTTAGTTTGAAGATTTGTTTGGACTTTCATTTGGACTTGGTCATGCTGCCCCATACGGGGTTTAGACTTTTAGCCACAGAATACCCAGAGGGGTAGTTGGGAGTAGACACAGGCTGAGAAAGGACATTGCAGGCTGGAAGGCAGGGCCGGCTCCAGGCACCAGCTTAACAAGCAGGTGCTTGGGGCGGCCAAGGGAGAGGGGCAGCACCTGCGGCAATTCGGGGGCGGCAGGTCCCTCACTCCCTCTAGGAGCGAAGGACCTGCCGCTGAACTGCCGCCGCCCATCGCGGCTTTTTCTTTTTTTCCAGTTGCCGCCGCCGATCGCGATCGCGGCTTTTTTTTTTTTTGCTTGGGATGGCCCCAAGCAAATGCTGGAGCCGGCCCTGTCGGAAGGAGATCCCAGTAGGGGGTGACAGAGATGGGGGCCTCATGCAAGGCTGTGACCGGAGATGAGGGGGTATCCACAAGATGCGGATGTGTTACTACAATAATATAAAATATAATAAAAATGTGTATTTAGAATGGAACTAAAATAAGTGCCAGGCATTCAGAGGGGATCTAGAAGTGGTTATGTGCAGTGATGGTTGATATGTTATATTCTTACAGGCAACCCATAGGGAGTAGTAAGCTGCTTATACTTATTATGGATTTTGTATGTCTAATTTTGTACTAAGTTAATTGTATTTTCACTAAGAGCTGCAGTAGCCTGCTGTTTATTACTGTGTCTTCACCAATGAACTGTTACACTTTATCTGCAAATAAGTGGTTTCTGGTAACACGATCTGCATAAATATTGGTCAGCCTTTTTATTCAGTTTGCTGTACTTAGAGTGTAGCAATAGTTTGAGCGACTCCCTTGTTGAATGCCTGCTAGTGATCTTTACTATGGGCCTGTGAATTGTCTGTATACAAATTAGGAGTTTGTGAAAGCCATTATAATGATTTCAAAATCCCACTTAGTTCAAATAATCTTGAAATATATCTTTAGAATCCAAAACTCTGCTTTGTTTACTCTAGATCTTACGCTCCAAACTGAAATGTAATAACTAGACAGTAATGTGCTATATTGTTACCGTCCGGAGACTCTTTTATTAGAATATCAGTAACGTATTATTTGACATTATAGGTTATTTTATCATGTAATTTACCATCTTCACAGAATCACAGAATATCAGAGTTGGAAGGGACCTCAAGAGGTCATCTAGTCCAACCCCCTGCTCAAAGCAGGACCAATTCCCAGCTAAATCATCCCAGCCAGGGCTTTGTCAAGCTGGACCTTAAAAACCTCCAAGGAAGGAGACTCCACCACCTCCCTAGGTAATGCATTCCAGTGTTTTACCACCCTCCTAGTGAAATAGTTTTTCCTGATATCCAACCTGGACCTCCCCCACTGCAACTTGAGACCATTGCTCCCTGTGATATTTATATTGATCGCTGCTGTGTGGTGTAGAAACAGCATTTCATAGGCTGTAGCTGGCCAATCCAGTACAATGGAGCTGTAGTTACAACAGGCACTGAGCTACCGAAGCATGCGCTGTTGCTGCATAAGCACATGCAAGTTCCTGTTTAGGCTATTGCGTTAAATCGCTTTCACTTGGCTTATGTGTGGTATGCTCAGTCTAAGTACTTTTTCTCTCTCTCCTTGCAAGTGGAAACTTAGTAACTGGTTGGATATTTACCATAAACACTCTATTTCACCTTGTTTTATAGCCATTTTATCCCAATGTAGTTTTTTCCTATTACAATACTTTATATTTGTCATTGTGCACAAGACGGTGCTGGTATACCCTTATCCACGGGATCTAAACACTTTACCTCTGTGCAGATGTTCACTCGGGAGTGGGGGTTTGTTCAACAGAACCATTGTTGTAAGAGGCAGAGTGACGAAAATGTCCTTGAATCACTCTGATGGATCTGCATTTCCCTTCTATTCCTGGTTGGGCCACTGGCTGGCAGGGAGACCTTGGTGAAGCCACTTCCCCGCTCTGTGCCTCAATTTCCCCATCTGTAAAATGGGGATAATGATACCGACCTCCGTTGTTAAAGTGCTTTGAGATCTACTGATGACAAGCGCTGTATAAGAGCTAGGCACTAATTATAATTATTATTGTTTATGCCCAGTAAGCTGTTTAAAATCTTCTGCGGATGTGGAAAAAAAGCAAAGATGATTCTTTCTTTTAACATTTACATCAGCCGAGGTTCTGAGCCTTCATGTGAACCCATTCTTTTTTCTCCGGATCTTCCTGTTTTGACTTTCCTCTTTTCCCTCTTTTGCATGGACATAAGACCAGCAGCAACTGAAAAGTGACATGTATCTGGGCCCTTGTGTATGGCTCTTCTCTCTCTGCTCCCAGGAAGGTGTTGCTGCTATTATTTTTGTATTACAGCACCAGCCAGTGGGCCCTGGTCAGTTTTCGGGACTCATGGTGCTGAGTGCAAATTGGTGTAGCTCCATTTACTTCAGTTTACACCAGCTGAGGGTCTGGCTCCGTCCCTACAGGAGTTCACAGTCAGAACAGAGATAAGACACAACGACGGGGGAATGTAGGACATAAAAGAAAAGATTCCCCTTGTTTTGTCCCAGACCTCTCTATTGTGTCTCGTCGCTAATTATATTCCATGCCTGCCCTCACTGTAACCTGACCTCCCACTTGTACCATCTTTCTTCTACAAACAGCACTGTTAATTTTGATGAGGCAGAAGCGAATCCTCGGATGTGTCCTTGCTTTCAGGGTTACATCAACTGGCTACCAAACAGGGAGTTGTTCCCGTTTAAAGTGTTACCAGGAACCCTTTGAGCACATGGACTGGGGACAGAAGAAGAGGTGGAACGCAAGCCTTTTAATTGCCCATTGTACTTACTCAAAGGAGCTTTCTTTAGGGGGGCCATGACTTTCTTCATCTTGTATTTCAGGCTGACATCCCTTTTGCCATTATGTCTGATCACCTTATGCCAGTGTGCTTCAAACACGCTCTGGGCCAATCCTGTGACTGGCCGAGTGGAACTGACAGTCTCTTTGGGGTGGAGGGTGGGGGGGTTGACATTAACGCTGCTTCATGGGCTAGCCGCTGAAGAGCGTCGGTGGCGTGATGTACACTTCTGCCTCTTCCCAGGAGATTTAAAGTGTCAGCTAAGCAATGTTTTCCTAGCTGCACTGGCCTGGAGACTGGAAGCCAATAGTCACTC